TGGCGTGTACTCTCTGGCACGTCTAACTTCTGGTGGGATACATGGTCTGGACTGGGTGCCTTGCATCGCCAGGTCGATGGCTGCAGTGGGTACTGGACTGATGGAGTGGGTGATATGTATCGCTCTGATTTTATGATTGACCATGATGCTCTACCCCCTGATTTATTACGGCAGTTGCGCCTTGAGCCGCCATCTCTTGTTTCTGATCATGTGGATATTCCGGTCTGGACCCCGTCTACGGATGGGAAGTTTACTCTTGCTTCTGCTACGGAGCTTCTTAGACCGAGGAGGAATGATGAGGTGGAGGACACTGTGCTTAAGAGGTGTTTGCAGAAACACTTACCCTATAAGATGTCCTTTCTAGCATGGCGCGTTTTGGAGAGGCGCCTTCCCACTGATGATGTCCTGGCGAGATTTGGCTTTGCTTTGCCTTCTCGGTGTTATGTTGTTTGCCGCCAGGACGGGAGACCATTACACACATTTTCTATCATGGGAGCATGGCGCGGCGTGTTTGGACTTATTTCACAGAGTCTGCCCGTATCCGGGGCACACATCACAGTTTGAGGTCCGCCTTGAGTATATGGTGGGCGCAGAGGCCGAGGAGCAGGATGCTCTCGTTCCTGTTCCACTGCCTGCCGATGATCATTCTTTGGGAGATTTGGACGCACTATGCTGCGTGCAAGTATGGGGATGCTCGCCCCAACTTTGCACGCATTATTTTCCGGGTGGCTACGGCGGTGTCGGAGTGCATCTATCGTCGCTGGCCTAGCGGGGGTCTCTTGCCTTCCCGATGGTCGGTGATCATGGAGCACGTTCGACGAGGCTCTGGACGCAGGAGGGTGGTGTCGATTCGGTGGGTCCAACCGCCGGGTGGCACTATCAAGGTGAATGTGGCGAGGGCCCCGCTACGTGGGGCATTTGCAGCGATCGTGCGTGACTCGACAGGTAAGTTTCTTTATGCTCTTTCTTCTATTGCATTCAGGTGGGAACCAGTGGAGCGTGGAGGGATGGACGTGCTTCTTCGGTGTATTCAGTGGTGTATATCCCAGTCCTTCTTGCGTATCCACGTGGAGTCCC